AACTTTGCACCGATGTGCAGCAGTTCGAGTTGCCACACTTCACTTAGTACACAAAGTAACAGAAGAAAGTAAAAGAGATGCAAAACAAAGATAATAAGCAGAGATAGGAAGCAAAAGGAATGGTAATATCGAAGAACAACACTAGTACTAGCGTCCAATCAAAAGGATTATACGTTTACTTGTCAAGTCAGTTAATATCAAAAATAAAGGTCAATTAAAGTACACAAAGTGACAAAAGGATTTAAGAATTATAAGAATAATTAACACTACGTTTGGTTATCTAATCACATAAAGATTACCAAGTAGAAGTTAACTGGTGGATGGTGACTAGCAGTGGAATCCAGGAGACGCAATTCGCCCTGTTTGGGACTCATCATCTGGATGTAACTGGAGTCCCCAGCGAGTGATGGTGTTCCTAATGAGGCTCGAACCCAGTGCCCATAGTTTCAAACACCACGGCGTTATCCACTAGACCACTTGGGCGACAAGAGCCATCTCTTGTGCAACGGGTCATATTAATTATTTAATTGAATTTTAGATTTTCCCGTCGACTGATTGGACCGAAGTGCTCGGTCTCAGATTGACATGTCGGCTTCTTGTTCAGATGCTTCGACGATGTCTGGTCACGTAACTTGAAGTCAGTTGGTTGATCGTGACTAACAGTGGAATCCAGGATGCACATTTCTCCCTACTTGGGACTTCAAGTTACATTACTAGACATCGTCAAAGCATCTGCACAAGGAACAGACATATTAACCTGAGACCGAGCACTTCGGTCCAATCAGTCGACGGGAAAATCTAAAATTAAATTCAATAATTACCAATGTAGGTTTGGGGTAATAATAAGTTGTTTTTGAACACACAAGGGAGGGGGTGCTAAAGTTGATGAATAGCTGTAGCCTCAGTGTGTTTCAATAAACAGAAAATTGTATATGTCACTAACCAGAGCCTATCCCACAGCTAAGTTAGTTCCCGTTTATCGGACAACATGCGCTTTGGTGTAATCAAACGTCGATAGACACCATTCTCATTATAACTCCAACTTTATGTACAAATTTACATGTATTTACGGGATCAGTTACATCAGGAGAACAGATAGATGGGCATACCTTCGATTTTATGAACATGTACCTAAAAGCCTAAGTGCCATCGGCAGCCATCTCCTTGACTTGGGTAATGAGGTAGACATCGCAAGGTCACTCAAAATTATCAATAGACAGTAGAGCTCAATTCTTCTCAAGTTTGCAGAAGCAGCCTCCATTAAGCACATAAAACCCGATTTATGTGTTCAGAAAGAAGCAGTTATCAGTCCTTCCTTACCCTGGTAACTGGGTGTTTTTATTCTCTCTTTCATTTGATTACGTAACACTGTGAATCGCCCTCTACAGGCTTGTTATTGTTTAGAATAAAGTGGTCGTTATCATTATCTTTGCATGAAGACATTGATTTCTTGTTTGAACTTGAAATCTCTGTGAAAGTATATTAAAATTGTTTCTGTACATAAACTTAATAATATCTTGGGGCTGTAAGCGGCTGATGTGGAGCCAATGAAATAAACAATCATGGTATCATTTTGTTCTTCACAAAGCATTTTTGTCCTTGCTTTATTCAAATTCATAAACGGCATTAAATATATGAATTGCTTGATTATTTTAAAGATATTGAGCTTCTGAGCTTTAGCCAGGTAACTTCGCTTGGTTTAATGTTCACTGGTAGTTGGTATTCTGGAAGACGGTAGGCTTTCATTCAGGAGACTTTAAATTACCATGCATTTTATCGAAAAGCAAGTTGTTACTCATTAGGATTTGATGATGTGACAATTCATGATTACTTGATTAATTGAAGCGCCTCCTATGTTACCAACACATGTAGTTCGGATGACATTTTCAAGCATAACAACAAAACCACACCATAATCAGGAATGAAGTTAAATGTTTGTCATCATGAAGTCATTTGTTCAGTTTCTTACATTTGCATAGGTAAGGCATAGTGGTATCTCCAGGTTAAAGATTAAAGTGGCTGAAACAGAAAATCAAATCAGGACATTTGCTTGCCGATGGGATTAGCTGACAGTCGCGTTATATTTCACGAATCGACAGAAATTAGCATTCATGAGCCATTGGATTCTACGTCCCAGTGGCTCAGTCGTATACGAGCCCATATCTTATAACCTGTAGGTTCGGAGACCGATACCCAGTGAAATCATTAGTGGGTATTGATGAAGAGTCTGACACTAGGACGAAACGGATTTCCAGTACTCCCATCCTGGTTTTCAGTTGCTTCTATCACTGAAGTCAATTTAGGATCAAACTTGAAAACAAACAGTTTGATCTCACTGACCTTGGAATGATGTATTCAAACACCAAATCCCTCAAAGCGTATCACAGTGAAAAACCACTGTCAAACTGTTCTACAAAACGCGTTGAAAAGTCTTAATGATAAAATATACACTTTAGAAATTCCGTCAGAACTCTCACGATAATCCAGTTTGTAAAATTAAAGGTTTTTTATGTACTGACATTATTTTGTTTACCCTTTATCTCTAATAATTTAACCCATGCGGTTTTCTTTAAATATGTGTGTGGCCAGAATGCTTGGAATGTGTGCAGTCGTCAATACGCTGTGTATGTATCAGATAAAATTACTTGTTACTGTCATGCCGAGCTTTAAGTGATCGTAGAAAATTCGCAATGATTGAATGTATACAACACGAAGAAAAAACTGTGCATTTAACGATAGAGTTGAGGTCAAAAAAAAATAAGTAAATAGTCTAGAAATAACAAAATCTACCTTCCTCATACTTCACCAAAGTTATTTTGTGTTTACCCAGCAATAGGTGGCCTCTCTTCTTTTTATCAACGGTGAAAAATACCCCACAGAAAATACCTTTTCTATCTCATATTCGATACTCTGCATTTTATCTCTTGGTATATCTCTTCAAAAGGGCACAAGATATAATTAATATTATACTAAGAAATAGTACACATTATGTGTAATGCCTTTTTTTTATCAAAACATATCGGGATGTTTAGAAAATTGGAAATATGCCTGAAAAGTTAAACTGAACATGATCTTTCCGATTTAAATGTGTCAATTTCGATTCACTAAATTATTATTATTATTTATTAATTTTACGGGTTGATCACGGATTGATATCAGTTAGAGAACCATTGAAAACCAGGGAGTACTGGACAGCTGCTGTTTCATCCTAGTTTGGGAATCATCGGCAATACGCACCCACCGGGATTCGAACCCGGGACCTTCCGGTTACAAGGCAAGCTCGTATACCATTCAGCCACTGGGACCCGATTCAATGGCTCGTGAATTCTAACTTCTACTAATTCGTGATTTAGCGCGACCCCAACCATTGTCATCGGTGGAACATCCATCCTCACATTTGACTGGGTGGACCTCACGGATCCCGGTGGCTGAATGGTATACGAGCCAGCTTGCCTTGTAACAGGAAGGTCCTTGGTTCTGCCGATGATTTCCAAACTAGGATGAAACAGCTGCCTGTCCAGTACTCTAATGCCAGTTTTCAATGGTTCTTTAACCGATACCAATCCATGGTCATACTCGAAAACACAAATCTAATCCTTACAAACCAACTCTTGACAAGTAATAAGAGTTCGGTTTATCAGATTTACATAAAGTATCAAAAAGATAAGTCGTAAGGTTGAGTTAGGTGTCCATGACTTCTATCCATTCTTATATTCTCAACCAACAAGAATTTATATAAACACACCAATATGTATTAAAAGTCAATCTGAACGAAGAATATTCTTTTCAATAATTTCGCCTCTTCAGGTTCTTACAATTATAAAATATTATATTTGTGGTCGTTACAATAAAGATAGCCAGTTAGTTATGCAGCGGATACACTTTTCCCGTAGAATAACAGATTAGCAGTTATCGGGTGTCAAAATAAATAGTCGTATTTGTGTGACAAGCGTGCTAGGCTGAAATCGATTAGAAAATATTGTAAAACGGGAGACAATGGTGGAGATTAATCATAATAGAATTGTAGAGTGTGGGGTAGGCAAATTGACAAATCAGTTCAAGGTTATAAAAGGTGTCAGGCGGGTGAGTGGCTAGTACAAAGTGGTCTGAGTTAAACAGGAGATAGTAAGACTGGAATGAGAGGTTCATAGTGAGATAACGAATATGTTAAATGAAACAGGTGGAGGCATGTATTGAGAAAACAGATAATATAACAAAGATTTTTTTGTATTTCCCAATGAATGAAAAACAAAACGATGTTGGGAAATACAAAAAACCTTTATTATAATGAATATCATATACCCAATGCCCAAATTTTTTCAAACCGTTAAAAGTGAACTTGATTTTGACTCATATAAACAGATAATATCACTAATAATAAGTCCGTATACATTCCCTCAATACTATCGAATTTTCATTTTTACTATCCGGACTTATTATTAGTGAAATTATCTCTTTTCTCAATATATGCCTCCACCTGTTTCATTTAACATATTCGTTATCTCACTATGAACCTCTCATTCCAGTCTTACTATCTCCTGTTTAACTCAGACCACTTTGTACTAGCCACTCACCCGCCTGACACCTTTTATAACCTTGAACTGATTTGTCAATTTGCCTACCCCACACTCTACAATTCTATTATGATTAATCTCCACCATTGTCTCCCGTTTTACAATATTTTCTAATCGATTTCAGCCTAGCACGCTTGTCACACAAATACGACTATTTATTTTGACACCCGATAACTGCTAATCTGTTATTCTGCGGGAAAAGTGTATCCGCTGCATAACTAACTGGCTATCATTATTGTAACGGCCACAAATATAATATTTTATAATTGTAAGAACCTGAAGAGGCGAAATTATTGAAAAGAATATTCTTCGTTCAGATTGACTTGTAATTCATAATATGGGAATATTTCACGCTATCAAATCTTATAACACCAGTATGTGACAGAGTAACAAAGTGATTATTAAGTTAAATGATTTGTATTTTACCTGCATGTACAGCTGGAATATGTGAATCCAAAATTCCAAAACTTCCATTTACACGTGCCACTATACCCACAATAAATGTGATTAGACCAATCACCTACAATTGAAAATAAAAAAATAACAGTGATGTTATACATTTTCACCTTGTAAATATTGCAACAGTAAATGATAATATAACATGAATATACTGCTGTTAGTTAACGCGTACTTACGTTCTCAGTGGAACATAGGGCTTCAGGTTAGACGTTTGAAGTTCCACTCGGAAGGCAAAATAATGAAATAGGATAGTCCCACCTTCGATTATCCATGTGTTTGAAATGGCGAACAACAAATGTCTTTATTTCGAAAATTGAAAAACCATGTAATTTTTTCACTCATATGGTTGATTTACCTTAGAATCTAATTAAAAACACCTGTTTAACATGCAGGCAAAAGCTGAAGCATCAGTCATTTATAAGGACACATAGTGCTTATAGTGCTCATAGTGCTTATCACGTTTGTCTTATAAACAAAATTCGATAATTAATTTTCTCTTTTAGATGAGTTTATTCAAGTTGACAAAATAACTGTCGACTTAGAGTGAACGGATTAAAAAGTATTACAAATAACTGTGTCGATCAGTGTGTGAGTCGGCGGCACAGAGGTAGAATACTCGTCAATCACGTGTGTGGTCCCGGGTTCGACCCCCAGCCAACACACTCCTCTATAAGCCAGTAATAAGACTGGTAAAGAGGGAAGGTTGGACATGAGGCTAGAAAACCCATCCTGTAAAACTAAACACCACTGCTACAGGAAATTCAAGCCTCTAGCTTGAAGTAGCCCTATGTTTCACTAGGAGCGTGATAAAATTTAAAAAAAGTGGAGATCAGTAAGTGTGATAAAATATTGTTAGAATATTCAATTTTATGAAATATCTGAACTCTTAACACTCATTTGCGTATACAGTTCACATATACCTAAAGGAATACCTACTTTATTAGGGATACAAAAGATTAATGGGAATTTAACAAAATATATGTTTATATAAATCATCTAGGATCACTTATTCACATGGCATATTCTATGACAGCAGTTTTTCAGAAAACTCGAATAAGACCCTTCCTGCAGATTATTCACTTACGAATAATTAGTAAAACTGCCCTACTTTTAACATCTTTGACGTAGACTCTTTCTTAAAATTTAGACTCCAAGCAAAAACGTTATTGAAACGGATCGTTATTTGGCCACAAACGGGCAGTCATTTCGTCTTAGTTTAAGATCTTTCAGCAGTACACACCCATGTCTCCACTGACGATCAAAGCTAGGACCTTCATGTTACTAGACGAGTAGGTCAATCATTCAACCCACTGGAATGGAATCCAATGACCAATGAAATCTATCTAACTATTTCCAATTCGCTGTGTAGAGTGTCACTACTAGCCAACGTCGTCCGTGAGTATTTCTCATCACACCCAACTTGCTGGATAACGTTACCTGTCATTCTAGTGAGGACTCGGGTATGAGGACAAATACTCACTAATTATGAATGGTTAGGAAGACATAGACAGACTGTTTTAAAAAAAAACTGTAAAAAAAGTTTGAAACAAGTGATGTGTAAATAAAAAAGAAATCAAACGAATCCACTTTATCCTACGCTGTATGTCATTGCTCCACCCATCTGAATCTATCGTTCACGTTTCTTCCTGTTAGAAAGCCATCATTCCAAAGCACGTACAATCAAATGAGAGCATGGAGTCACGCACGGATTACTTTAAACATTAGCATTTTATCCACTAAGCTACTGAGGAGCAATTATCCCGTCTTCTGAAGTGGTTATCGACTTTTGTGCACTTGTAATATCAACTTGTTCATCTTACCTAAACTAATTTTATCAAACTAGTGAAATAATGTAGCTACCTCCCATGTCTTAGCGATTTCTAAAAGAATATTTCGTCTGACTTTTTACATTAAGAAGTTAAGGCACTCAGGAAAAACTCATCCTCTCCTCCTACAGTTTGTCAATTCGTACATCTTACCTATTCTTCTTAACTGTTCATCCTTGCTTATTCTTTCCTGGATTGCTTAAAAAATGACTATGTCATACTTCGTAGAACTCTGAAGACTGTCAGTCAGTAGGACGAGTGGTATCCCACTTGGCCGTATCGTTAACAATGTCACTGATAGGCACTTGATGTCATGCAACAAATTTGCTAAAGGAATTTTGTCAGACTGTGAGCATCCTCCACTGTACCCGTAGCTCCAACCTTGTGTCTCCTCCTCAGGTAAAACAAGAATTCTTTTCAGAAGAATTTACGCACGTACGTCTAAGTATAAAAATTCCGCTATACCATATTCGGCACATACTTTATGTGATGCAAATAGTGTCAGGCATGAACTAACTAACCTTCTTTGCACTACTAAATAAACCATTTCCTCCACCCTTACAACATCAAACTTTATTGTTATTGTATTTCTTATATTTACAATACTCTCAATTTTTTGTTTTTATTTATTTATTTTTCATAAGTGTGAACATCATTTAAGCTGTGTTATAACTGTTAATCTTGTATTTCCCCTCACCAATGTACTATATCAACAGAACATTAGATTCAATAATCCATAGTATGCTAAAATTTTCAAAATGAATCGACAATACTTTTTGAAGCAAACTCACTGTTATTATTATTATTTATATTTAATATTCTCAGTTCGTGCTTCGAATATTTTTGACTTTATATCGTAAACGTGGACAAATTCCTCTGGTTACTTTTGTTTTAATTTTATTTGTATTTTAAGTAAATCAGATGCAATATTGTGACAGATGCTGAGAATTCCATTCTGTATTACAAGTACTGTTTTTGGAATAAAGTAGATTATTATTATTTGTATAAAAATTGACTATTTTAATCTTAAAGTATTGGTTTTGTAGGCATTTTTTGTTTAATTTGTTGGAGGATTTCATCATGAGCTCACGTCAGTTAGAGAACCGCTGGAAAACCAAGTCCTAAATTGGTACCTTCAGCGGTACGAACCCAACGACAGGCTTCGAATTAAGAGCCTTCTGGTTACAAAGCGACTGAGCTTGTAGACTATTAAGTCACTGGGACCAACCCGATCCAGTGGTCAGCGCACGAATTCTAACTTCTGCCTAATTCATAACATGGAGCAACCACCAGCCAATGTTTTCTTCGACAAGTTACTGCCCCGTCTTCAACCTGCTGCACCCTACTGGCTGCGGCTTTCTACTAGAACCTCAGGTCATTGCCTGAATAGGGTCAGTGGCTAGTAAGCATCAGATCGATTTTCAAGTATTAGTTTTGTAGAGATTTTGTTTGATTGGTTGGAAGACTTTATCATGAGCTGACATCATCCCCATTAGTTTAGATGATAACGTTGGTCAAAAGCCATTCATATTGTGGATTCCTTAGCTTACCAAATCACATTATTTCATTAGTTTGATAAAATTAGTTTAGGTAAGATGAACAAGTTGATATTACAAGTGCACAAAAGTCGATAACCACTTCAGAAGACGGGATAATTGCTACTCAGTAGCTTAGTGGATAAAATGCTAATGTTTAAAGTAATTCGTGCGTGACTCCATGCTCTCATTTGATTGTACGTGCTTTGGAATGATGGCTTTCTAACAGGAAGAAACGTGAATGATAGATTCAAATGTTAGCTACTTTTCAGTGAAACGTGAATATGACTGACTATTTTAACTTTTAAAGTTATTATTACTATTACTTCAATACAGTCTGACAATTACAACACTTAAATTTCTCGTCATAATGCTTTAGTCGCTTAATCATGTCACTTTTCATTGCTGATAATAAAGGCATTAATCAGTTGACCTTAAGCATAAGTAGACGATAATTGAAAAAACGATTTTTCCCCTACCCTCGCAACTATCTTTTGACTTTGTTAATTTTTACAATTCTAGCTAATTCTATTAACTGATTGTATCTTACATAATCCTTTTGAGTCATCCCACTCTTCCTAGCCGTCATTATTTAAAAATTTCTTGATTATGTAACAGCTTGAAGTCAACTGATGTGCGTCGGTGGCACAGTGGTTGGGACTCTCGCCGACCATGAACATGGTCCGAGGTTCGATCCCCTGACGACGCACATCTGATATCTATGGTCAGCCTGCAAAATTTGGGCTACCGATATCCATGCCAAAAATTCCTTACTTGTACCAAAAATACAGCGTGGAATCAAGCCGTAATCAAAAATGAAATAAAATAAATTGACTAGTAGTGGAATCCAGGATAAAGCGCATTTCGCCTGTCCTATTTAAGACTCGTCAGCTGGATGTACCTGCAGTCCGCAGTGAATGATGGTGTTCCCACCGAGGCTCGCACCTAATGCCCATAGTTTTAAACGCCAAAGCGTTATCCGCTAGACCAGCTAGGCGACGACGGGTTATATCAATTATTGAATTCAATTTTAGATTTCCCCTTTGATTGATTGGATCGAAGTGCTCGGTCTCGGGTTGATATGTCGGCTCCTTGTGCAGATGCTTCGACGATGCCTAACAATGTAACCTGAAGTCCCAAATAGGAAGAAATGCGCATTCTGGATTCCACTGCTAGTCACCATCAACCAACTGACTTCAAGGTACGTGACCAGACATCGTCGAAGCATCTGAACAAGTTGCCAACATGTCAACCTGAGACCTAGCACTTCAGTCCAATCAATCGACGGGAAGACCTGAAATTGAATTAAATATGTAGTAATTTGTTGGTAACGCCTACAAATTAACTTACTTTGAATTCTGTAGTTAATTTTCACCCCTCCTTCAAAACTTAGATATCTTGTTACTGACATTTAACTGTTAATTGTTTTGATGGCATTTAACCTCTTGATTTCACCCCGCTCCCTATACCTAAAACTGATTAACTAAAATAACCACTTGATTGGTAAAAACAATTTTGATATAAAAAGCAACTACATATTAGTGTAGAGCCACCAGATAGTGGGGAACTAATTTCTTCGCTCAATCTGTTATTTTTTCTAAATAATTAAAATAAATGCAGAAATCAAGATGAATTTCCGCCAAATGTCAAATTCATACTCTATCAAATGGACAATGGAAGTCAATGAAAGTACTAAGTTT